TTAGAGTGGGAGAGAGCCAAAGCATAAGAGACTGTTGAGAACTGAGAGCAAACTGAGGGTTGATGGGGGGTGGGAGGGAGGAGAGGGTGGGTGATGGGTATTGAGGAGGGCACCTTTTGGGATGAGCACTGGGTGTTGTATGGAAACCAATTTGACAATAAATTTCATATATAAATAAAAATAAATAAATAAAAAAAAATGAAAGATGGTTAGTACCCTAGGGAAGAATGTAAAAAAAAAAATAAATAAAAATAAATAAATAAATAAAAAATAAAATGCAGATCTAATTATGTGACTTCTCTGTTTAAAACCCTTTGTTGGTTCTTCCTGTCAGAAGATAAGAGGAGTTAAGGTGGCAGAGTGGTGGGGAGATCCTATGCTTACCTCATCCCTTGAGACAGCTAGATAAATATCAAATCATTCTGAACACCCAAGAAATTGATCTTAGGACTGAGAGAGCAAAACTGCACATCTAGAGGTATAAAAATGGTCACATTGGGGAAGGTAGGAGCTGCGGAGATGTGATTTGGGGGAGAAGAGAATCTTGGATGCTGCGGAGAGCAGGGAGCCCTGATCACAGAGAGGGGTGTAGAGAGAGAGCAGCACACAGGAGACTGCACAAGAGAAACACTTTCCCAGAATCATTGACTGGGAGAGTGAGAGGGGCTGATTATTGTGAGTTTTTACAACCAGTGGAGCTCAAAGGCTGGGGTTTTAGAAGTCCATGTCATGGAGGGTGTGGAACCCAGCAGGCACAGTGGTGCTCCCATGGAGGAGGGCGGAGGCCCTGGAGCACACAGCATGGTCTGAGGAACCTCTGAGTTGCACTGGGAGAGAAGGTTCCTCTTCTTGGAGTGCATTCGGGAGAGTTGGCACTGTCTCTCAGGGACAGAAGAGCCAGGGGATGCCATTGTGCTGTCCTGTTCATTAGCATAGGGGCAGAGACACCTGCTGAGGGCTGCTAACCTGGACGCTGGTGCTTTGCTGTGTTTTACTCTAAACTCCAAGCCCCTGTGTGTTTGTGCAACTGCCCTTCTGGGACAAATGGGCACCAGCCACAGCCCAGTGAGACCCTTCTCATGAGGATCATCGAGGGTCCATGGTGCACTGGATACCTAAAATTTGGAGTTCCGAAACTCAGCTGGTGTACCTGAGAGAAAACACAGGTGCACTGTGCTGCAGGGCAAGCAGACAGCCCCATCACAGACAGGATTGAGGCAGGGATATGAGGGAGGCCAGCACAGACAGGATCAAGGCAGGGATATGAGGGAGGCCAGTGCAGACAGGATTGAGGCAGAGATAGGAGGGAGGCCAGCATAGATAGGATCGAGGCAGAGATATGAGGGAGGCCAGCGCAGACAGGATTGAGGCAGGGGTATGAGGGAGGCCAGTGTAGACAGGATCAAGGCAGGGGTATGAGGGAGGCCAGCACAGACAGGATCGAGGCAGGGATATGAGGGAGGCCTGGGACAATGAGAGGAGATTGTTCACTCTCGTGTGAGAGCTTCCCAGACAGTAGCAGTTGTGAACTCCCCTCTCTACAGATGAGGAGGTGCTGGTGCCACTTTTCCCTCCCTCCCAGACTAACTTTTGTGAGCAGCATGGGGCCCACAGTGGAGGCTTGAGCCTCTTACATCAAGGTCCCCTCTCCTGCACTCTGCAGATACTAATGAACTAGGGCAGGTGTGTCTGAGAGCCAGAGAGGCAGTGAGACCCTCCCTCAGAAGGCCAGCACGGACCACACACACCAAGTCTACTGACCATAGAGTGCTAAAAAACTTCAGTTCTAGTGAAAATAAGATCAGGCCTCTTTTAACAAGCAGACCAGAGCACACCTAGTTAAAACTCGCCACACACTAGACAAAGTCCAAACATTCTCCACGACAGGCAAAGAGAAGCTCTGCAGAGGACTGACCTGAGGGAAAGAACAGCCAAAACACAGCAGCAGAGTGCACACAGCACACACCAAAAACATTTCCTGAAGCACCAGCACTCTCAGGAGCAGGAAACATAGCTACTGTCGAAAGAACAGAAGATAACAAATGTGGGTGAGGATGTGGAGAAATTGGGACCTTTGTGCACTATTGGTGGGAATGTAAAATCATACAGCTGCTGTGGAAAATAGTATTGTGGTTCCTTAGAAAATTAGAAATAAAATTGCTATATGATCTAGCAATTCTACTTCTAGATATGTAGCCCAAAGAATCAAATCAGGATCTGACAGAGGTATTTGCACACCCATGTTCATAGCAGCATTATTGTAAATAGTCAAAAGGTAGAAGCGAACTAAATATCCATAGAGGAATGAATAAACAAAATGTGGTATATACAAAGAATGGAGTATTATTTAGCCTTAAAAAGGGAGGAGATTCTGATACATGCTACAATATGGATGAACCTTGAGGACAGTGTGATAAGTGAAATGAGCCAGTCACAAAAAGACAAATACTCTATGATTCTATATGAAGTATCTTAAATAGTTAAATTAATAAAAACAGAAGGTAGAATGGTGATTGCTAGGTGCCAGGGGGAGGGGGAAATAGGGAGTTATTGTTTAATGAGTATAAAGCTTCAGTTTTGCAAGATGAAAAAGTCCTGGAGATCGGTTGCACAACAATGTGAATACACTGTATACTACTGAACTGTGTCCTCAGAAATGGATAAAATGATAAATTTTATGTGTTTTTACTATAATTAAAAAACATCAGTCTTCTTACTGTGACTTCCAAGATGCTACATGATCTGATCCCTGCTTAATTCTCAAAAATTATCTCTTGCAAACTGTTTTCCCAACCTCCACCCCTGCAACCCCTACACCCCAGGGCACTTAGGGTTGGGAAAAACTTAAGGGATTTGGTTAGAAAATAATTTTTGGCTTTCTTATAGGAATAGTGAGGCTAGTTAATTACTTCAAACTTCCTTTTTTATATCTAATTCCTTAAAAACCATTTACACCTAAGCCTTCCAACAGAGTTTGTATCATCACCTCACTATAGCTGTTTCCAAGTCAAATGTCGTTACTAATTCAGTGAACATATTTCATTCCTCATTTTATTTGACCATTCTAGGGTACTTGAACTGTTGAAATGTTGATAACACTCTCTCCTTTTCATTGAAAAGTACATAGAAATCAGAATCAGGTTTCATATCTTGCTTCTACCGCCTATTTGTATGTGACTGTGGGTGGCTAATGGTAGGTTTTCTCGATATTCTATCCTTGGTTCTCACTCTTCACCCTCCCATTTCAATCATTCCTATAGCCTCATCCATAATGGCAAACATTTATTGAATGCTTATTATGAGCTAGGCACCATCTTAAGTATTACTCATGTATCACCTCAATTTTCACAACCATGTTAAGGTAGGTACTTTATTATCTATAATTTTTAGGTGAGGATACCAAGGCATAGAGATCTTGAGTAGTTGCTCAAAGCGCACAGAATATTAATGACAAAGCTGAGACTCTCCCTAGACAGCATTTGGCTCCAAAGTCTGTATTTTAAACAGTTCAGTAAACTACTTCTGTGTGAATTGCTCCGATATGAGCTCTTGTTTGATGTATAGACACACATATCCATTTGTTCAGGAAAGCTCTGCCTGACTCTCTCTTGGGACTCTCAAGCTCACAGTGTCCAAAATGGATCTTACCGTTTTTCCTTCTCTAATCTTACTCTTTACCTCATTAAATGACCTCATCCTTCATCCAGTTGCTGAAGGTAGAATCCTAGGAATAACCTTAGATTCCTTCCCCTTCTCTACCTCCAGATTCAATTGATGACCAAATTCGGTTGACTTCATTGTTCGTATGTTACTGTCATGAAGAGTGGTTCACACTCTTGTATTTCTCCCTTGCACCATTGCCCTCTCACAGACGGGCCTCTTTACCTCTCGTCTTCTCTAGGATAGAGAAGGTCCATACCATTTGATGTAGACATTTGATTAAGGAATTTCTCTGCTCACAATTCTTCTGTAGCTTATCTACTGGGTAAAATCTAAATAACCATTTGTAGTGAGAATTATAGAACAGTGTTTTTAAAACTATTTAGGTGTGAAAGATCAGGATTTACCTTTCTTAAAGGACTGAGACTTTCTGAAAAATGGTCATTATTGACAATAGCTGAGATATGGAAGCAGCCCAAGTATCCATTGATAGATGAATGGATAAAAAAAGATGTGACACATACACACACACACACACACACACACACACACACACACACACATATGCGTACACACACATACCTACAATGGAATATAACTCAGCCATGAAAAAGAATGAGATCTCGCCATTTGTAACAACATAGATGGACCTAGAGGGTATAGTGTAAAGTGAAATGAGTCTAACAGAGAAAAACAAATACCCTAAGATTTCACTCCCATGTGTATTTAAGGAACAAATGACCAAGGAAAAAAAGATACCAAAAAAATTGCCCTTAAATACAGAGAATCTAAAAACACAAAACTTGTAGATATAGAGAACAGAATGGTGGTTGCCAGGGGGAGGGGTGTTGAGAGTAGGTAAAATGGATGAAGGGGCTCAAGAGGTATGAATTTCTAGTTATAGAATAAATAAGTCATGGGGATGTAATGTACAGCATGGTGACATAGTCAGTATTGTAGTGCATACTGAACGTTGCCAAAAGAGTAAATCTTTAAAAAGTTTTCATTGTAGGGGCACTTGGGTGGCTCAGTTGGTTAAACTTCTGACTTTGGCTCAGGTCACGATCTCATGGTTTGTGAGTTCAAGCCCTGCATCAGGCTCTCTGCTGTCAGCACAGAACCTGCTTCAGATCCTCTGTCCCCTTCTTTCTCTGGCCCTCCTCACTGGTTCTCTCTCTGTCTCTCTGTCTCTAATAAATAAACTTAAAAAATGTTCTCATTGTCATAAGGAAAAAAAATTATAACTTTGTATGGTGACAGATGGTACTAGATTTATTGTAGTGATCATTTCATGGTGTACACAAATATCAAATCATTATGTTGTGCATCTGAAATGAGTATAATGTTACATGTCTAGTAGACAACTAAAAAAATTAAGGAGAAAAAATAAAATGTTTCCAGAAAGTCATCACTTAAAAAAAAACCAGAAAAAAAAATATAGAGGACAAACTAGTAGTTGCCAGAGAGGAGGTGGGTAGGGGATTGAGTGAAATACATATGGGAGATTGAGGGTTCACTTATCTCAATGAGCAGTGAGAAATATGTAGAATTGTTGAACCATTATAGTGTACACCTGAAAGTAATATAAGACCACAAGTTTATTATTCTTCAATAAAAAAATAAAAGTGGTCAAACCTTGAATATTGCACCACTGCTAAATTGTTATAAAAAGTTTCTAAATCTTCACCTTTATTTATTTTTTTTTTTAAATTTTTTTTTCAACGTTTATTTATTTTTGGGACAGAGAGAGACAGAGCATGAACAGGGGAGGGGCAGAGAGAGAGGGAGACACAGAATCGGAAACAGGCTCCAGGCTCTGAGCCATCAGCCCAGAGCCCGACGCGGGGCTCGAACTCCCGGACCGCGAGATCGTGACCTGGCTGAAGTCGGACGCTTAACCGACTGCGCCACCCAGGCGCCCCTAAATCTTCACCTTTAATTTCTGTGCTTACCTTGCTCTGCACCAAGAACAGTGTGCAGACCAACAATGGAAGGCAGGCCCATACTTTAAGAAGATTTGTCACATGAGACTGGCTGTGAAGTCTGATTGTGAATAATAAGCCTGTGTTGGTCTCTTTCACTTCCCTATTCTACTGCTCTGTATCCCTCTGTCCATCAGATAAACTTGCCATGGATTGGTATACTTTGGAGGAAGTTTATGTGCAGGTAAGAGCGAGCTAGGAAAATGTCTGCACCTTAAGAGTGTCCCAGTGAAAGAAAAACTCAGACATTTAGTTATTTTGCATGAAGATCGTTGATTGACATGTGAGGGAGTTGGCTGATTGAGTTGAGGAACAGTCAAAAACACGTTTCATAAGGGAAAGAGAGGACAGAAAATTGTAACTGGGATTTGCCCAGTGAATCTTGCTTGTATCTTTTTGGCTAAACCATTTTCTCTCAGCTAGCAAAGAGGAGTGTCTGGTGATTCCCTTGTTGAGTGGACAGAGATATGAAAGAAAACAATTTCAGTTGTCTATGGGTTCTTCTGAAAGTGCTGAGAGATATACATACCTGGCTATCTCTGTTGTAATGACTGTTCATCATTCCATCAGTACCTCCACCTAAGTTAGGCTAGGTCTGCACTGTTTCCCTCATTGTAATTTCTAGTTCTTCAGCCTGTTAGTTAGGCCTGACTCCTCTAGGGAAGGGCCTCAGAAGCTGAACTAGCTGGTTATGACACTGGAGGCAAGGTGGCAAATTGTGCCACAGAAATGGAGAGAGGAATTGTTTTCACATTCCTGATGGTGCAATTCAGTGAGGCCTGCACAGCTGGTACCTTCTATAGGTTTTGCAGCTTTGGTAGGGGTACCTGGGGACAGTACTTCAAGCAGGGAAGGAGGAAGCCAGTAGGGGGTAGTGCCCCCTTCCAGTGGCTTGTGGAGAGCAAGCATAGACAGAATATTGTTTGAGAACACTTAGAAAAAAATGAGCTTGTTTGTTGCTTTTCATTAAATACCTGTCCACATTGGGGATCATTTAAACCTTGGCCGTTAATTTCACTTTATCTTGATCTGTTCAAGTAAAAGTGAAGGAGAGATAGCTTTTGTAAGTTTTATAAAACTCAGAATTAGGAGACTTGAGGACTAATTGCTGTTTTGGTATGGATTATTTGTGTGACACATGCATCTGCAGAATGGGAGCACTGGCTTAGATATTCTCTAATGTGCATTCTGGTCTGATGTTATGGAGAGGGAAAACTTGGGTATGGTTCTCACAGAGGGATATTGCTTCTAATGGTAGAACTTGTACACATTTGTACTGTTCTTTCTTTATTTCTTCACCTGCCAGCATCAACTCTTTGTGTTTTCTTTCCAGGGCGGAGAGGGCATTTTCTTTGTTGCTTTTCCTTTGTCAAAATATTTCAGCAAAAAAGTCTCTGCTTTCATTAATCTCCATTGGAAAACAGCTCCTAGTGTCTTTGGAAGAAGGACCTGTGGTTAGTAACTTCTGTGTACTAATCATGGTTTGACTTGGCTAATACCCACTTGGGTTGATGTTTGGGTAATAATTATGGTGTGATTCACGATTAAGCTAAGCCTTTTTTCAACCTGAAGGTGATTGTGTGGGACAATGATTATGTTAAGTTCTTTTTTCCTTGGGCTCCTTATTACTTTTGCATGGTGTATAATTGCCATTTGGTCATATGCCTTTTTAGCGATATAAGAAAAAGACGTAATTTTGGCTCTGGGGAAGTAAGTTTTCTGGGATCTATGACAAATAAGCATAGAAGAGACACATTATGACATATGCCCAAATGTTTATTTTGAATCTTTATGCAATTCACTTTTTCGATTTTAATGAAGCCAGAATAATATAGAATTCCATTACAAGGATAGTCCAGAAAGATGTACTGAGCCCTGATAATAACATTGGAGGTTTGGCCACTAGAACAGTGATTTTATAATTTTTGCCACTAGAAGAGTGATTTTATAATATTTTTCACAAAGATCAGTGCACAAATCTACAAAGTTCCTAAAATTTAAGCTCACAAAAGAAAAATGCTTACTTCAACCCCAACACCCAAAATACTGTGTTTTCCAAATTTAGGTCTAAATAACATTGTTTATTCCCATTCACCATTTCCAAACAAAGGCATAAATCTTCTAGAGAATAAACTAAACTATGCCCAAGGGAAGAAATTGTGTAACTTATTCAAAATAAAATGGTAATGTAAACCCTTTGGAAGTATAATGAGAAGTTTCTTGATGCAAAGTTATGTCTTGTTTCACTTACCTACTCTCAGTATTAATTATTTTTCTATTGGGTTCTCACTCATAATAATAATATCTTTCTAACTGACCAAATCCCAACTGTTTTGATTTATCACTTGAATGACCGTATGTTCCTGACTGCATATTACTGTCTGATATATTGGATGTTATAAATTCATCTCCAGAGTGAGGTCTGTCACTAAATGCCATATTGGTGCAATCATAACTTACACGACCATACTGAGACTGTCCAAAATCTGAATCAGACTTCCTGGAATTTTCTCTCTGCCCTGGAGGAGACACTGATTTCTTGTAGAAATAAGACCCTGAGTTTTCAGACCTGCCACGTACATTGTCATGTTGTCTTCTTTGACTGGAACTGGGCCGTTCCAAGACTGACCCTGACTGAGTATCTGAGTCTTCTGATTGTC